TATTAATTTTTCTTATGAAGTAATTTATATTCGAGTATATAAAAAATACTCAGCAATAAAAATTAAAGAAATACTTAACTTTTTCTCGAAAAATTAAAAATTTAATTTTATTCAAAAAATACTTATTTATGTTCTACTTTTATTATTAATTTACATATTTTTAATCTAAAAAAAGTTTTAAATATTTTATTATATCTTTATTGTTTATAAAAATATGAAATCTTTATTGAAAAAAAATATATTTTATTTTTATATTTTTTTATGTTTTTTTTCTTTAATTATTTTTAATTATTTAATTCTTTAATTATTTATATTTTTAACAAAAGTAATTTTAATATCATCAAAAGTTGAAGATTTTTAATGATTCAAATTCTTGAAATGAATTTTTTATATTTTATTAATATATATTTCATAAAATATATTATGATAAAATAATAGAATATTTTTGGATTTTTATTTTAATTTAGTTCCAGAAATAATTTTTTATTTATTTATGATTTATATATTATTGTATTCGTCTGATATTCATTTTTTTATAACTTTTTTTACAACTTTTTTTACACACTTTTATACTAATTACAATTTAATATTAATTTATGATTATTTACAATAATAATTAATTTATTATACAATATATTCTTGAAAAAAGAAAAGAGCAACACGTCCGTTTCGTGATCAATACAAGATTTCATTCATAAAAATCCATATTTTTAATTTCGATGATAATCGATATTGTCATCTTCTATATCATAGTTTATATTGGCTATGATATTATTATAACTTGTATGAAATTATCACACTCGTAATAATATTATTAATTATTCTAACAAAATGACTATATTAAAAAAATTTAATTAATTTAAATAATTTAAATAATTTAATCTATTTGTTGCCATTAATATATTCTATCATTTTATATGTTATATTCAGTTTTCATATAAACAATGATAATTTTTAAAAAACTGCAATTTTCTCATATTATTAAAAAAAAGAATATTTTTTTTATATATTTCTATAAAATATCTTTATATATATTATAATTTATATAGATATTAAAAATATAACAGGTAACATATCATTTTGTCAAAAAATATAAAAATATATAATAATAATAATATAAAATATAATATAATTATAAAAAGTAATTTTTTAGAAAGAAAAGAAGAAATGAATTTTATTTCATTAAATTGAAATTTGATTTATATTATAATTAATATATTAAATTTATACTTTTAAAAAAATAATTTATAAAAATATTATATATATTTATTTTATATGTTATTCATAGAATACGTTTAGCTGAGGGCTTCAATTTCACATATTCAGCAGCAGGTATTATAAATATGGTTCTTGAAGTACAAATGCAAGGAGTTGGTGAAAATGATACATCATATCCGTGTATCATTCAATATATTTTGTTTCCGCCACATATTGCGTCCAATACGACATTAGAACGTGATAGTACATCAGAAGAAGATACTGATGAAGGTATATATTATTTAAAATCATACTTACTCACTGAAAAATTAAAAATTAAAATTTTTTTAATACTTTTTAACACATTCGAAACAAATTGTATTTGTTTAAGATAAATATATTTAATTATAATATTTAAGGTAAAAAAATTGTTTTTTATGTATTATAAAAATCTTTAAAGAAAGAAAAATCAAATTGTAATTGTTGCAATTTCTCATTATTTTAAAATTTAGTTTAGCATATTTAACATGTAGATACAAAATTATTAAGTATTATATTAGATTATTTTAAATAGATTGACAAAACAAGTCAATTGAAATATAATCATATAATTCGATAAAAATTCAGAATTCGGAATTGTTACATAATGCTTAGGATAGATGATTTAGTCTTTATTCTTTATATTTTACTGATATCAACGGAAGATATAACAAATAAAGAAAAAAGAGATTAGAATAGAATTAGAATAGAATTAGAATAGACAATCGTAAAAAATTAAAAGCTTATACATCTTAAAAAATTGATTATACATTGCAATTTTGCTATAATTGTATTGTTTTATGAATTATGAGATAGTCATTCAATGGTTTTTCCACTTAGATTTTAATATATATTATAATTTTAATATTATTATAATATCATATTTAAATTATTAATTAAAAATATAAATTTTATATATTATTATATATTATATATTATAAATTAATGATAAATCATTTTTTCTTTAAATTATTT